AAGAATCCACCGTGGGCATTGGATACTCATCTTTGGGTGTAGCTATATTTAAATTCCTAAAGTCTATACACACCCTTAGTTTACCATTCTTTTTTAGTACTGGCACAATATTATCTGGCTGTTCTTATAAAACCTGCTTTCAATAATCGCTCTATCTCTTTCTTAATCTCAGGGAGTACATTAAGAGCAAAACGCCTAGGAGGTTGCCTATGAGGTTTAAAATTAGGCTTAGTTGGTAACCTATGTTCCACCAAATCTCTATCTAAACCAGGCATTTGTTCATATTCCCAAGCAAAATAATCTTTGTACTCTTTTAACAAAGTGATTAATTTGTTACTAACCTCTTGGTCGAGCATTTGGCTGATGAACGTTGGGTGATCTTCTCCTTCATCGCCAATATTTACTTTGATCAGAGGGTCTTGTGCTTCAGCGTATCTAGGTTTGGCAATCCGCATCACTTCGTCGTCCAGTTCTCTTGTAAATACTTCCTCTTCCAAACAGTCCACCTTCTTGACTTCTCAGCCAATGCTTTGCTCTAACTCGAATATTGCCAACTTGTCCTTCAGCGCTTTTAGGGCAGTCTCTTCCTTCGCCTTGTCATTGCATTCCTTATTGAAAGCTATCTGTCTGGCTTTGAAGGCCTGAATGTTTGCCATTTGCTTTTGTAACTTAAAGTCCATTCAAGACTCCTTAATTATTCTTTTGCCAATTACTGGCTCTTCCAGGGCCACTATATTTGGCCTCATCTATTTGAACATCTCAGTGAGTGCGTCTACTAAGAATGGTTCTTCGCTTTGCGCGATAACCTGAGTTTCTTTCCCGTCTTGTACTACTCTGACAGGTCTATAGTTTCCTTCGTACATGAACTTTTCCACCGAGTTTGCTTCTGCGACAAAAGGCCTATGATCGGCCTGTACCACCTCTGCTTCGCCTTTTTCATTCCAAAAGATCAGGCATTGATGGAGCGACGAGGGTATACAGCGACTTCCATGTATCCAATCTCTTCCTAGGAGCACATTGTAACTAGTAGGGCCATCTATTACAAAGAAGACAGTGGTCCTAGTAGTCGTACCTATAGTTATGTCTAA